CCAGGCCCAATTCCAGGGTCAGGAAATTTCTAGGACCTTCCCTGCCCAAGCGGGCCCTGGCGTGGTGGCCCAGGGACCTGTCCTAAGTGGCGAGGCAAAGGAGGGAGCAGCTTGAGGGTCGCAGTGGTCACCGCTGTGTGGCTGGTGTGGATGAGAGGGCGAGCAGCGGCCTGGCTTCAGGTCTCAAGCCGAGGGCACCGGAGTGTAGGGACTCGGGCCGCACCACCGTCACCAACGTGCCCCTCTCCTACCTGGAGGCGTGTGGGTGTGTGTGGGGGTGTCTGCGAGTCTTGGGGTGACAAGCTGCCCCGCTGGCCACCTTTCTCGAGTATACAGGCCCTCGAGCCTGGCCCAACCCAGCCTCTCTCGGCCGGACCAGAGCGGGAGCAGGACACTGCGGGCTGCGGCCCTCTCGGGTGCCAGCTCGCGTTCTCGGGTGTCTGGGCGCCCGGGCACCAGGGTCTGAGACGCCAGAGGCTACCCTCTCCGGGGAGGCGGCGGGGCCTGAGTCTCCACCAGGTCCGATCGCGGCGGCAGCCTTGGCGCTCCCCGCGGCGTCCTGCAGGTTGCCGGGGATGCTTTGCGTGTAACCCGGGAATAGGCCCCGCAGCCGCGAGGCTGGCGCTGGAAGGACGGTGGAAAATCTGTAAGTCACCAACCTCTGTGCAAATGGCTGCCGGGGCCGCGCGGCGGTCGGACCCAGGCCCGAGGCCAAAGGCGAACTCGCGGCCGTGAGTCCCCAGAGACGGCAGGGGGAGTTGGGCGCTAAGAGACTACTGAGATTGGGAGAATCTGGAGCGGCCTGACCCCACCGACAGCGGAGTTTAGGGTGCGCGGTCCGCGCCGCGACTCAGTGGTCCCGGAATCCCACAAAAGGGCGCCCTGGACCCAGAGCTCCCAAACAGTCGGAAGACTAGAGAGCGCTCCCAGGCCTGGAGTGTGTGTGTTAGGGGACGCTGGGGCTCGGACCCCCTTCACCACCACCAGGACCCAGCAAAGCGGCTGGGACGTTTCTCCGGGTGCCTCTCCCCGCACTTCCTGGAGCCCAGTCCCCCCCGCCCAAGCTGCGGAGCTGGGAGCGCCGCGCACGGCGGACGTCTGCCCCGGGCCCGGTCCCGCGCAGCTTTTGCAGAGCAGAGCTGCAGCCCACGGGAGCACTCGGCGCCCACCTGGCCGCCCCAGCGAGCCCGGGCTTTGGCGCCAGAACCCTTGCCCGCTGAATTTGAACCGGCTTCCGGGTCCGTTGCCCTGGCTCGCTCTCCTACAGCGCGGGCTGGAATGGAGCGCTGGCTGTAGAGCCATCAGGGCGGGGAACAGCAGCAGCGGGTCCCTACTCGGGACCGAGCCCAGGGAGTGGGTGGGTGGGGTGTCCCGCTGGCCCTCCGCCGCCGGAAGAAGAAAAGGACAGCAAACTCACTTTCCCCTGAGGGACTGGACGGGTCCGTTGCATTCTTCCCAGGCCCGGGAAACAGGTTCCCCAAGCTCCCCCGGTTTCCCAACCTATCTCGGCTGCCCGCCCCAGGCAGCGAATGGTCGGAAAGCCACGAGAGGGACAGCAGGCGGCCACACGTCCCCGGGACCCAGACTCCGGCGGCGAGAACCGACCTGCTCCTTTCTCTGCACAAAACGAAACTCAAAAGCCCAAAGATCTCGAGAGGGAAAGAAATTTAAAAAAACCAAAACACCTCTTTTGTCCCTCTTTCACTTTTAACAAACTGGCTGATGACCGAAATTTTAAATAAAAACGAAATGAGCAACAGCAAAGGGCATTTTCTATCCAAATTGTGAAATTCTCTATTTAAAAATATTTCCCTGAGGCCAGCCCCGCGGCTGGCCCGCCCTTCCGAAGCCTTTGCCTCTCCCAGAAAATCACAACAAAGCCATCGGAAATTCAGCCGCGGTGCTGGGAAGGAGTAGCAGTGAGGCCCCGGGGACTCAGTGGCCGAAACTGCCAAGCAGTCTCTCTTTAAACAAAAATAAAAAAGATAAGAAGAAGAAGTAAAACCTTTTAATACATCAAATATACGGAATTTTAATCTTTAAAGCGATACATTGTCTATTATTTTAGTACATGACGTAAACCTTGTCCCCTTCTCAGCGGGTGGACTTAAAAATTAAAAATAGTTAAGTGTTCCTTTTAAAGAACAAAATAAGGCAAATGAGGTTTTGGAATAGAATTGTTTTTCCTTTTTTTTTGTTGTTTTCTCCAGAATACATACAAAAAAATACCCATTCTCTTTCGATGGTATACACCTTAAAAATAATTGCAATTTGAAATCAGAGCTGACAAATTGTGACTTGTTTTGTTTCTTTTTTTCATTTTTTTTGTAACAAACATGCATGTAAATTTGTTTCAATCAGACATTAAATAAGAACGTACAATACAATCATAGCAATTTAAAAGTAACATTAAAGAGAAGACCTCTAGTTCTGTGGCGGTTTGGTTTTTATTTATAATCTACAAGGGATGGGAGGGTTTGTTTTCCACATTTTTACCCTCAAGTTAAAATTTTCCCCCTCCTCCTTTTTACCTACGGAGCTCAAACTAAATAATGCACTTTTGAACCACGGGTCCGCTTGGAGCTAACATAAATAAATACCAGTGTCCACCGATGAAGTCCTTAAATGAACACTTTCTCAATTATTTTTCTTCTTTTTCTATAAAAAGTCAAATGTTTTTTTTTTTTTTTATCCAACTTTTATAAAGTTTGGGTGGGGAGGTAAGAGGAGGAAAAGGGGAGTTTCCCACCGGGTGTTGGTCGCTGTTCTTGGGTAGATAGATATGGTATATACTTATTTCCTTTCGTGGCCCGGGTCTGTCTGCCCCCACGCGCGAGTGTCAACCATCTCGACCGTGATCCCGCCCCTCCCGGGGCTCCTCCCCTCCCCCCAGCTCCTGTGTCTCCCTCGCTAGCCCTCCTGGCTGCCCTCACTGGTACCCCAGCGCTGAGGCGGTGGTCAGTCTCTGTCCGTAGAGGGCATAGGGGGAATAGTAGGGTCCGGTGGCGGCGGGCACCGGCACTGGAGCACCGGGTGTAGGGAGTGGGCTCTTGGAATAGGGGTGGTAGCGGCTGCTGAGTCCCAGCGCATGGTGGGGACTGCGCAGCGCCAGCGTCCCGGGGCTGCCTGGCGCGCCCGACGTAGGGATGTGCATGTGGCAAGCCATGGCGGCCGCTGCGGCACTGGCCAGAGACGACGAGCTGGGGTAGCCCGACAGCAGTTTGTCTGTCCCGGGGAAAGCCGTATGGGTCCGCAAGTGGCTCAGCAGCTCTTCAGACGTGGCAAAGCGCTTGTCGCACGGCCCGTTGGCCGACACCCAGTTGCAGATGTGGGGGAGCGGGTCGTTAGGGAGCATGAAGCCGTAGGGGTACAGGGGATGGCCGGCCAGGGAGGGTGGTGGGG